TTTCACAGAACTGCTGTGTCATTCACTGAGATAGTGAACAAGAAAGTATGTTGGAATGGCTAAAAGGGTGTAAAAAGGGTAGGAAGGAACAAGAGGAAGATGGAGGAGAAAAGGACGAGGAAGAACAGGAAGAGAAGGGAAATTTCCCCCCATAGGTAATTCTAGCCACACTTTGAGTTACTTGAAAAAGCCAAGTTCTCCTCACATCTGGGTCTGGGTGCTTGTGCTCCCCTCTCCTGGAGCACTCTTCTCCCAGCCCTTCTCACTGACTCATCCTTCAACATCTCTCTCATCTTGCCTCCTCCAAGAGGCCTATGCTAATGCCCCTGTCTAAAGTCATCCTCCACTGCTTTCTCATTTAATCCTCCTTATTTCTTCCACAGAACTGATCACAATCTGAAATGAGCCTCCACCTATTGGAATGTAAAGTGCACGAGGGCAGAGACTTATCTGTCCTATTTATTGCTATATCCCTACTGCCTGATGCAAGGTACAGTAAAGATTGAATGATCAGGCTGTGCATGGTGGCTCACGCCTGTAATCTCAGCACTTTGGGAGACCGAGGTGGGCGGATCACGAGACCAAGAGATCGAGACCATCCTGGCCAACATGGTGAAACCCCGTTTCTCCTAAAAATGCAAAAATTACTCGGGCGTGGTGGCACACACCTGTGGTCCTAGCTACTCGGAAGGCTGAGGCGGAAGAATCCCCTGAACCCAGGAGGCAGAGGTTGCAGTAAGCCAAGATTGTGCCACTGCACTCCAGCCTGGGGACAGATTCCGTCTCAAAAAAAAAAAAAAAAAAAAAAAAAAAAAGATTGAATGATCAAATGAGGCAGCTGATGTATTGGGGTGTAGGGATCCTGGATGGCAGGCATATGTGGACATTACCCAGGCAGTCCCTTGAGTTCTAGGGCTGTGGCTGGGGTGCTAGGTCAGGAGGGCAGGATCAGGGTAAAGTGGGAAGTGCCTAGAGAGCACAGCTGGAGAGAGGTTGGACAGGGCAGTGGGTAGGCAGCAGGGACCCCAATATACTGACCCTTTGCTTTACAAGATGAAAAGCTGATTCAGCCTAATGTTGGATCAGCAACATACTTGACTCAGGAGAGATCTGTACGGTCTGGAGTCCACATGTGTCAGAGCTGGAGAGGAGTTGAGGGGGAAGTAGCATGAAGTAGTCCAGCACTTGGGCTCTGGTGTCCCTTAAACCTGATTTGAATCTCCAGTTTACCATAAGCTTATGTATCGTTGGTGGGTAAGCTTGGGCAAATTATTACTATGAACTTCATTTTCCACATTTATAAAATGGGAATAATGATAGTTCCAGATTTATAAGGGTTAAATCAGACAATATATGCAAAGAGCTTAGCTGGTGCTTGGCACATAGTAGGTGTTTAATAAATGCTGGCTCTTATTATTACTATTCTGCTGTCCAAACTATTTTATAAATGAAAAGGTGTAGCGTCAGGCATGGTAGCTCATGCTTGTAATCTTAGCATATTGGGAGGCCAAGGCAGGAGGATTGCTTGAGACCAGGAGTTCAAGGCCAGCCTGGGCAACCTAATAAGACCTTGTCTCTACTAACACAATTAAAGAGAAATAAAGAAAAGGTGTAGCTCAGAGAGGGGCAGGAATGAGCCCAAAGTCACTCAGTGACTCAATAACAGAGAGGGGACTCACACCCAGGTCTATCCCACCTGGCTGGGTTGTGATTCTCTCCCTTCCTATAAAGCCCTTGGCTGGTAGCAGGAGGACCAGCCTTAGTCCTAGTGGTCTTCCTTTCTAGGTCAGGGTCATCCTTGCTTCAGAGGCTCCTGCTACCCCAGTATGCGGCTTTCTTTTTTTTCTTTTTGAGACAGAGTTTCATTCTTGTTGCCCAGGCTGGAGTGCAATGGTGTGATCTTGGCTCACTGCAACCTTTGCCTCCTGGGTTTAAGCAATTCTCCTGCCTCAGCCTCCCAAGTAGCTGGGATTACAGGCATGAGCCCCCGTGCCTGGCTAATTTTGTATTTTTAGTAGAGACAGAGTTTCACTATGTTGGTCAGGCTGGTCTCAAACTCCTGACCTCAGGTGATCCACCCACCTCGGCCTCCCAAAGTGCTGGGATTACAGGCATGAGCCACTGTGCCCAGCTGTATGCCCCATCCCTAGATATAAAACTGACCAAGTCTTCCTTCTGGGAGTGATCCTTGCTCAGGGTGTCCCCAGAGACCTGGGAGTGGCCCTCAGGAGGGATCTCTGTCCCACAGCTTCAGTCCAGCCCCAACCAGATTTCCAATACCTGAACCAAAAGCCACATGGGAACCCCAGCCGAAAACTGGGAAGAGTTCCACTGGATCATCCTCATCAAAATAATCATCATAGTTTATGAATAAAAACACGAAGCTTTGGCTAATTTTAGTGCCATGATGCCTGGGAGCTATAGTAACCAATCCTATAAAAATGTACATCTGTCCAGATGGCAAAACATATATATGGAGAGTCCACCAGCACTCTGCATTCAGCAGCCAAAAGCTCTTGACTTTTGAACCAGGGCAAGAGGCCTTGGGGGTCATTATTATGATGATGATTATTTCATTATTATTAGAGACAGTATCTTGCTCTGTCACCCAGGCTAGTCTCAGGTGGCAATCCTCCTGCCTCAGCCTCGGAGTAGCTGGGACTCCGGGAACATACCACTGTGCCTGGCCCTTGGGGGTCACCTGGAGCAGATTCCTTCCTGGGTGTTTGTGGATTTTTCTGCAAAGAAAGTTCATGGCTTCCTTAAGGTTCTCAAAAGGACAAAACACCCAAACTTTTTTATTTCATTTCAGTAGTCTGAGGGTCTCGGGTGTGGGGCACTATTCCAGGCTGGAACTCTTGTAAAAGACAACCCCCTCTTTTTTCAGATGGGCAAGTGGAAGTTCACTCATTTATTGAATGAAACACTGTGAGCCAGCTTTCTGTGGAGCACTGCTCAACATGTTTGGCACAAAGCAGTGAACAACACACGTGAAGTCCTTGCTCTCACTGAGCTTCTGTCTAGTGGGGGGAACAAATGGTTTTTGAGAATGACAGGTGATGAGAAGGAAATAAAACAGTATAAGGTGTTGAACTGTGCCTGTGAGAGAGGCAAGCAGACTGTCTGAGTAACCAGGGAGGGCCTCTCTGAGGAGGTGACATTAGAATAGGCACAGGAAAATCAGGTAGAAGAGTGTCTCCAGCAGAGGTAAAAGCAGGTGCAAAGATCCTGGGGTGTGACCGGGCGTGGCGGCTCATGCCTGTAATCCCAGCACTTTGGCAGGACAAGGTGGGTGGATCACTTGTGGTCAGGAGTTCGAGACCAGCCTGGCCAACATGGTGAAACCCCATCTTTATATATATTAAAAAACTAATCTAAAAAAATAAAAAATTAAAAAACAATTTAAGAAACCACAAAGCCAAGCTGGGAGAGGTGGCTCATGCCTGTAATCCTACCATTTTGGGTGGCCGAGGCATGCAGATTGCCTGAGCTCAGGAGTTCGAGGCCAGCCTGGGCAACATGGTGAAATCCTGCTTCTATTAAAATACAAAAAATTAGCTGGGTGTGGTGGTGTGTGCTCCTGTAATCCCTGCTACTCTGGAAGCTGAGGCACTAGAATAGCTTGAACGGGAGGTAGAGGTTGTGAGCCGACATCATGCCACTGCACTCCAGCCTGGGCAACAGAATGAGAGAATGAGACTCTGTCTCAAAAAAAAAAAAAAAAAAAAAAAAGAACACCCAGAAACCACAAATCTTTTTGAGGAAAAGGACGAGGTATTAATTCTTACACCTTTCTGAGTGTTAGGCACTAAATAAATATTCAGCCAAGACTTGTTACACTGAGCAGTTCATATGCAACAGGAGTGACCCAAGTTGAAATGTAGAACCAGCCCGCTCATACCACTTTTTACCAGGTGATCATAGGCAAGTTACATAGCCTCTATGTTTTCTTATTAATAAAATGGTCATAATTACAATGTCTAAGATAAGGGGTTGCTATGAAGATTTTTAAGTCCTCAGTAAACCTTAGCTGTTGTTACTACTATGATTAAATGATTATCATTAATATCATCAATTACCTTATCTGTTCAATATTGGTGGCACAGTTCCACCAGCTAGATGTCTAATCCCTTATGTGTCTATCAGTGGTACAAGTGGAGTTTGAGTGGGATTTTTTTTTTTTTTTTTTGAGACGGAGTCTGTCATCGTCACCTGGGCTGGAGTGCAGTGGCACCATCTCGGCTCACTGCAACCTCTGCCTCCTGGGTTCGAGCGATTCTCCTGCCTCAGCCTCCCAAGTAGCTGGGATTACAGGCACCTGCCACCACGCCCAGCTCATTTTTTGTATTTTTAGTAGAGACCATGTTTCACCATGTTGACCAGGCTGGTCTCGAGCTCCTGACCTTGTGATTCGCCCGCCTCAGCCTCTCAAAGTGCTGGGATAACAGGCATAAACTACTGCATCCAGAGATTTTTTTTTTTTTTTTTTTTTTTTTTTTTTAGAGAAGACGTTCCAAATCATTAAGGATGTTACCACTAGCAGCCGCTTGTCTTGTCTGCACAGTGGCAAGTCCTGGCCTTGCCTTTGTGGCAGATACTACCCCCTTGAATTGCTTAGCCCTTCTCAGCATTGCCTAATGTTAGGGAGGACTCCCGCAAAGCTCACTGGTTTAGAAAATCAAGACACTTGGGCTTGGTTCTGCCCCTGGGGGCCATTGAGTAATTCCTTGCACTCCAGGCCTCATTTGCCCTTTGAACAAGAAAGAGGCTGTTCTGGGTGATCCCTCCAGGCCTGCACAGCCCCGGCACTCTGTGAGTCCATTTAGACAGCGGCCCCGGAAAAGATGAAGCAGGCAGGGCTAGGGCGTTTGTTCAGGACAGCCCACCACAAAGAGAGGAGGAAAGAAATGAAAGACAGAGACAGCTTTGGCTGTGGGAGAAGGGGGAGGCCGGGGGAAGGAGGAGACTGGAGGAGGAGGGACCACGGGGTGGAGGGGAGGGAGACCCAGCCCAGAGCTCTGAGTGGTTTCCTGTTGCCTGTCTCTAAACCCCTCCGCACTCCCGCAGACCTTCAGACTGACCAGGAGAGCGCACTCTGCCTGCCGCCTGCCTGCCTGCCACTGAGGTATGCGTGACCCCCGCCCCATCTTTCCCTTCTGTAGTTGCACCAACCTGACACCCTAGTTCACGCCGCCCTCAGCTCGTGTGCAAGGGAGGGATGCTCTAAGGGATGCGCCTCTCCTTCAGGCTCCACCACGGCTGGCTTTGAGAGCGTAGTCCTCGGTCCTGTCTGCCTGTTGCTTTTCAGAAGGTGGACTCGCTGTGTAACTTTATCTTCCCTTATAGGTTTACGGAAAATAATTTCACTATGTCTTCAGGGGAGGATTTTCTCACCCTCTGTTTCTCTCTGTGTCTGTCTCTCTGGTTTTAGAGGCTGCCTTTGCAAATGTGGCAGCTTCCTCCTTTCCTGGTAATCTGATCCCATCACAGCTGCCACAGGGACCGGGCCAGCAGCCGGAGTCTGTCCTCCTGTTCCTTATTGCAGGAGAAGAAACCTCCTAGACTCAGATATTGGTCAGGGACTTGGTTTTCCAAAAGGGACTTTGCACAATCAGTTGATCTCCGAAAGGCAAAGGGGGAGACTTCCCCGTTAATCCACACCTCCAGAAAGCCTTCTGTTTCCCTCTAATTCTCCCCACTCCCAAACACCACCTCCTGTTCCTCTGCATACACAAACTCCAGCGCCATTCTGCCTGAAATGGCACCATCACGATCTCAGTCCTGGGCTAGGTGTTGTTCCTGTCCTGAGTTCCCTGGGATGGTAAACACGGGCAGTAGCCCTTAGTTTATCTAGATCTGAAGAACCTAGACATCAGATATCATCAACCAAGACGCGGGTGTAATAGGCGGTGGAGTGTGGTGGAGGAGGTATTCTCGGAAGACAGGGGGAAAGGAAGAAGGAGAGATTTCCAGGGTCCCCTTCCGCACTCCTCCCAAGACGGGTCTCCAGTCTGTCAGGGTGCCAGATCTTTTTCAGACAAACATACCACCTTTCTTCACCACCACTGACTCCACAAACTGATTGTCAAGTGGACTTCCTTAGGGAAAAGGGACTCCAAAGATTCTAAGGGAAAGGGGGTACTGGGATGAGTTATGTGTTCCAGGAATCCCAGTTTGCCCAAAAGGGAACAGAGAGGCATGTATTTTTCTCAGGAAAGGACAGCATTTTTTCATTAGAGAAAATGTTTTCACTAGTAACGCTTTAGGGTTAAACTTCTACATGCCCCAAGTGCTGGTGGTCTAGTGAGAAGCAAAGCAGAGGTAGGACAGAGGCTTCAGGCACGCATTTTACGTGTGATCTTAGGTGTCTCCCCTGGATTTAACTTCCCCATCTGTAAAGAAAGAAAGCTGGAATTGAAGGCTCTTCTGGGTGCTTGGTGTCCTCTAAAATATTCAAAGGAAGATTTCTTAACCAGAGTTTATGGAGTGATTTTTAATTTTTTTGTAGAGATGGCGTTTCACCATATTGGCCAGGTTGGTCTCAAACTCCTGACCTCAGGTGATCTACCCGCCTAGGCCTCCCAAAGGGCTGGGATTACAGGTGTGAGCCACAGTGCCCAGCCTATGTGGTGATCTTTGAATGGGCCTTAAGCCATCTGTAAGTCCCTAAAAATTGTATGCAGTGTGTGTGTGTGTGTGTGTGTGTGTGTGAGAGAGAGAGAGAGAGAGAGAGAGAGAGAGAGAGAGAGGAGAGAGAGAGAGAGAGAGAGAGAGAAAGAGAGAGAGAGAGAGAAAGTATGGGTGCCCATAGCTTTCAGCTTTAAGATATTCTCAAATGGATTAGAGGGCGTGACGTGGGGATGGAGTGAGGACTGGTAACAAAGGTGTGTATTTGCAGGAGGATGAAGCATTTTGAAATGGGAGTGGTTGAGGAAAGAGAGAGTTAACTTGCAGCTATCAGCTGCCACGTTGACAAAGCCTAGAGCAAAGGAGGGGGGGGAAGGGGGGTTGCCTGGAGAAGGAATCAACTTTTGAAACTTTCTCCAAGTCCCACCCACCAGAAGGCTCTTCTCTGCCTGACTCACTCTCCGAGGAATGCGAGTTGCCACGGTAACCTTTTTTTCAGGGTCTCTGCCTGCTGGCTGGGAGGGGACGCCAGGAACCCTCTTAGAACATCAGTCTGAATGTACCCCACCCCCAAATTCAAGGACTGCAGCAAACTCTGCCCCTGCCCTAGTGATCTCTCAGAATTCTGGGAAAGACTTGGGCCGTGATAATCTCCTTGCAAGGGTGTTTGAAGACCTGGGTTTTAGCTCTGGCTGTGCCCTGAAGTTACTATTTGACCTTGAACTAATCACTTCTCCTTTCTGGGCTCCATTCCCTCTACAGCTAAAGAACAGTAACAGCAGCCACCTCTAGGGGATAGATAGTGTGTGGAAGAAATGGGATAACGTGGGCAGGGAAGCACTTTGCAAACTGTGGCGTTCCCTCCTAATGCATAGGGTTTTAGAACTGATGAATTAATGGTATCCAAAGACCTGGTGAAATCATTCTCTGTTTTATTTTCCCTGGCAGCTTAATCATCTTGGGATTTGTAAAGCACTTCCCTTTACTGGACATGCCGACAGGCAAATTTTTAAAATCGTAATATTGCTTACATTCATTTTGATTTGGGGACCTTCTTGTGTATTTCCCAAGACTGTTGTGCCCTCTGTGTAGGAAAAGCATTGGCCAAGGGTGCAAAAGAAAATGTGTTCTAACTCACAGTGCCTGATGTTGGAAAAGCCACTCGCTCTCTTGAGGCTGCAGTTTCCCAATCGTTAAATAGAGGTTCTAAGCTAGATGATCTCCCAGGCACCCTTCTAACTCTGAAGTCGTGTAAACCTACATCCCAGATTCTGCTTTTATTTGAAGAAATAGCTGGCCTACATTTGTAACAGCTTCTTGCTGCACCCCTACTTGAAAAGAAAACAAGAAAGGATGGCCTAGGGGATCTTGGGTTGCATAACCATCATGCTGTAATCCTTATCCATCTGTAGAGACTTGTCAACCAATAGCGTGGCTGGGGTTTGCTATTCATAGGAGCAGCTTTCCTTGCTGAAAACAAGCCATAAATAAGAAAGAATGGTGGAGGAAAGGAAAGAGCTGAGGATATGAGGTAAACAGCAGAATATTTGACCTTTGAAGTCATTTAGGTAGATAGATAAATATGCAGAGATAAAAAGGAACAGGTACAAACCTGTAGGGATAAAGAGTGTAAACACTGATTTCATCAACAGGTACTCACTGGCACAGCTAGAAATAAGTGCCGCATTACAGAAGCAGACACAGAAAGTCATTTGCTCACACATTTCTCCCTGGACGACATTTTGATTTACGGACACAGACAAGTTCCAGGAATATATCTTAGTGAATGTGAAAATTCTGACCTTCACTTATTACAGGCTGAAACAGACAGATGCTGAGTCAGGCTGTATGTATCTTACACTGACACACCATCAGGTGTACAAACACACACTGCTACGTGTAGTCACACATGGATGTGCACAGTCAAACATAATGTGGATCATGACAATAAGACAGACGTGGAACTAACCTACGTGGATCCCCTGACTACCTCCATGTCTCAGAGAGAGAGACACTGAGCCTCAGGAAAAGAAAATAACTCAACTGGAGGTCACACAGTTTGGAGTCTGAGCCAAACTTCCAGGTGGTTGGAACCGTTTCTATTCACCTTGCCTTCCCCCCACCATTGGTTCAGTGTGGAACCACACTCAGGCACACAAGCCTCGTGGATACTAAGCGATGAGCAGCACTTCGTCTCTCCCTTGGCTGGCCTGCACTGCCTATTCTAGCCCCTATGGCTTTGTCGTTAGGCCCAAAGGCCGGGCGTGATGTGGTTATAGGCGGCTGCTCCCTTGCTTCTAGCTGGCTCCCTCCCAAACCTCAGTCTCAAAGGAGAGAAGGGAAAACCGACCTTGAGCTTTCAACAACCCTAAGGACCTTGTTTCTACAACGCAGAACCTGATGCTTCTCTCCTTTCCTCTCTCCCTCCTTGCCTGCCTCCCTCCCAACCCCAATCCTGAATCCAGGGACAGCTGGGCTGTGCAGGGCCAGGGCCAGCACGTAGTGACTTGACAATTATTTCGAAAAACAGCCTCTCCTCAGCTGGGAGCTTAGAAAGGAAATCAACTCTGCTCTCACTCATCAAGCTATGAGCTTGATGTCTACCAGGAAGACATGAACATAGACAACAACTGTTTTTAGACCTGGTTTCTTTCAGAAACTTGGTATTAACCTCTCTCACTTAACCCTCCAGATCATCTTGTGTTAGTCATGGCATTAGGATTTCAGACCTATCAGATAAAAAAAGCAAAGCAAGGTAAACATCTGGATGTTTTTGAACATCTGGAAGTTTGGCTCAGACATCAGCTTGCTGTGTTACCTCCAGTGAGGTATTTTCCTTCTCTAAGCCTCAATTTCTCTATCTCTACAATAAGAGACATCACATAGAGGTTTCATGTGGCCTGACAACACCACTAATCCATTGGTAGTGGCTGCCAGAAGAACTGTGTTTGGGATTCTGATGCCTCTCCAGACTTCGGGGGAAGTGGTCAAGCAGTTGATTAGTAATGCCTGCCACATGTGCAGGAGGGGCAGGTGGAGGCCACGTATTTGCCACATATGCCACGTATTTGCTACCTTTGGGATCTCGGAGGCCTTTCCAGATGTGACAGCCTGGATACTTTGAGGTTATTTCTCATCCTTTCATTTGTGGTCACCCCGATGCAGCAGCAGTCCCCTAGAGGGAGCCAAGGAGGAAGCCTGAAGCTCCACCCCAGCCTCTGCTAGCCACAGTGAAACGTGGCATCTCAGATGCCTTTATGGAATCTCAGGCTGATTACAGCCTCAAACTCTGGAGCCACCTCCGAGTTGCCCCGGAAGCTCTTCAGTCCTAAGTTTTAGCTACCACACCTTAAAGTTTTCCTTTAGCTTCTTCCCTTCCAGCATGAAATAGAAGTGGAAACAGGGAGTCAAGGGGCAAGTGGAGAGAGGTAATGCTCTAAAAAGCTTCTGCCAGAGTTGATCCAGAAAATCAGAGCTGAAAAGAACCTAAGAGACCAC